ACACTTTAGAAACATAGCTTCAATGTCATTTTGAGATATTTTCAGTTCAAATTTGTTTTTATACAATCGGGTATTAGTAGAATATATGATTGGTAGTTTACATTCACAAAAAACGGTTTCTTTCCAAAAAACGAAGACACTTACTTACTTTCATATATATATATATATTGTAATCATTAATAATTATATGAAAAAATATAACTTTCTTTAAACCACTTTTTGCTTCCAGTGTCATTCTAAAATTAGAAGTTGTTCTAATAATATTAAAACAACGAAATTGAAAAATTATATTTAAGAAAGTATAAAAACCTATAACAATGTAGCACGGAAGGTATGGTAAAACGAAACTTTAGAAAGATCTCAGTCAAATCCTTGCGTACAGAATACTTTCACAGATGCTTAAACCGTCTGTCATACATAACATATGAAGGTATTAGACTGAAGTGCACAACACGCAAAAAGCGACATATTTGTCTAACCAAATCAACGAAATTATAAAATACCTCGTATAACTACAGCGGATTAGGGAAATCATCGCTGAGGTGCTGTCTACAATTCTTCAGGGTAACATTTTGCAGATATTGACTTTAAACTAGCTAAAGAGTGTCTAAGATACAATATACAATCAGGTTTTTATGACTTAAAGGTAGTATTAGAAAATTTAACGGCATACATAAATATTCCTGTTACATGTATTTGTAATTGAAATATAACTTTTATATGTGTACCTTTTTAGTATATTTTTTGTGATTAGCAATGCGTTTTTTATTTGCAGTATATTTTACATTGTTATCATACAAAAGGAAGGAAGTATTTTGCCTAATGTGGAAAAAACAACGACTTATTGCAAATTATGTCCAAAGTGCAGGTATTTCATTTATCAAAAACTATTTAGATCCGTTTTCCTGTTACAAATATTAGAAAGATTACCCATTGATCATATAGCTGACACATCAATTGATTGGTTTCTGTTTGGAAATAGTACAATTTAAGTGTTGGGTATTTTGTACGTCTGAATGCTACTTTGTTTACATTTTACTACCTTAATGACAAATCATTTCATGTGAGGCGCTCTTTACGTCCAACGATAAGCCTCTTATATACTTATATCTATGGTTAACATTATAAAACACCTTGCCACTTCTCAACAATATAATTTTTTTTTTCTGAAGCATAATGCGCCTTTAAAATTTTCGTTAACCAATCTTAATGTCCATAAGTTTTAGTTTTTTTAATATCAAATTAATTATGCTCAAATGCCTTTCCTAAACACAAACACTTGTAAACTACGTTCTACGTCATATGATCAAATCATTTTGAATGTGATTACAACCTTTGCCATTTGTATATGCCAGATAACATTTGTAGCCTCCTTTTCAAATAGCAACTTTTCAACTACTGCAATTCGTTTATAGAAGAGGACATCATTTTTTTCTCTGAAAAGTTTTAGGTACTATACATTTTGCATTAAGTTCATTTATATTGTTTCATTTATAGATAATTCTGTTTTAGTAAGTGTTTCTACAGACGGTTTCTTGGTTAAATTTTCATCTTTAAAAATTTAAAGAAATGTTCTTATTTCTTTTACAATATCCGAAAAAGTACTGATTGGTCATATGACTGAACCATCTTTGCTGTTTAGCAATTAGTAGTTATAGTATCTTTTATGGAAGTAAAATACCACTTTATGTACACTGTTTAACCATTTGTCAAAATAGTTTGCATACTGCGATGCTTAGCTCCTGTGAGAAGCTTCTAATTAATTTAAACCCGTTATTTAAACATAAAAAGACAAATGTTTTCACCTTCTTTAGAACGGTGAAAAATATTCCTTATGGCATGTATGTACCTTTATGGAAATGTTTTTTTAAGGGTTCAAAAATCAAAAATTTTAAATTTAAAATCATAATTACCCTTTTTTTTCAGATACTAAAAGTTTATCCTGTTTCTTCACTTTACCTTTACTATGGATTAAAATATGTAAGTGCATTCAAAGCTTCCACTCACAGATTTACTTTTTTATCTTTTCCCATCTTCTTACATCACTTACAAAGTTAAGTGATATAAAAAAAACAGCATAGTAGATAAAGATTTTCCACATACATACCATATCAAGCTTATCAATATGTATTCATGTATTCTCTAATCTATATCTAAAATAATGGTGGACTAACTATTTAATAATGATATGCTCGGTATGTAATTATACAGAAAGCATGGTTTTGGTCGATAATGTCCGATACACGCGTCTTAGTTTCACTTCAAAATTTTGAGCTTATTTCTTTCATTGAATTTACTCATTAACAATTTTGGCGTATCACGTCTGATCTAAGAACAATAACTTATTACAAAGCAAGCGAAAAGTTCCCATGGTAATGAAATTAGAACCTCGTTCATTACTGTAGCAGAATTAGCTGAACTTTCAATTATTATGGCAAAAAGAAACAGTGGGAATTTATCTTATGAATATTAGGAAGTCCCTGAAATGACCCAAACAAAAAATTTAAAGACAATCCGATGAATGAGATCAAAAATTAAGTAAATGATAAATAAGTCAATACCATCGAAATAATATAAAAATTGTTACTTACATGTCACAGTTCAATGTCAACGGCATACATTCCTCTCTTTCAATGAAATCCATTTTCTCTTATTTTGTTTTTATAACTTTTACATTTGTGCTGTTTTATATCATTTGATTCATGCTTCTCAGAACAAGACTACAAATAACCTTTGTTAATTACGTTCATTAACTTTCGTTTGTTATAAACAGTCAAATAATTATAATACTTTATAAAATAAATTTATTCGTCAAGTATTACATTTATATTCGGCAAACAGTATCTGAAGCTAATCGTTTATTACTTCCAAAGGTAAAACACAATGTCATCGTTTGAGAACAAAAGCTCAAAACCAGATAAGATCAAAGATCTATATTAAATAATACAGCATTATATAACGTAAAACCAATATTCCCTTGAGCATTTTAATAACGAGATGTAGGATATGTTGTTCCTCTGATACTACAAGTCTTCTCAATTTTCATCAATGAAAATTAATTAGAAATGAAATATGTGCCTTTTGAAATGATTCGGAAACAAAAACGAAATTGATTTCACGCGTGTTTTATGGATATGATTCGTTTTCAAACATACTCTTAAATAGACACAGACAATGAACTTCTAGACGGCAACATAATTAAAGTGTACCTTTGTATATTTGAAAGTGATTAAGCAAATTAATAATTTGATTAAAATCTTCATTTTTCGATATACTGTTTTATGTTAAACCTATTTTTGATGCAAAATACATCAACTAACGTTGATGTTCAAAATGTTCAAAATCAAGGGACTGAAAATAATGGCAACCGAGTAACACAACATTACGAAAAGTATAAGAGCAAATAATTTTCAAAACAATGAAGGGCTGATGAGGGAGGTTTATTAAAGCTCAATAGAAAATAACCTCGAGCAAAGATCTGATTAAACAGCTGATTTCTTTTATTATTATTCTTGACATCTAAACGCTGAAAATAAGATATTTACAACACATTTTTTATAACCCCTGGGACAGTCCTCGGATTAATTTACCATCAAATGCATTTTTTATTACATATTGAGAAAATTCATTGTAATCTCATATTAAAATGTTTATTTTACAAACTTTATTTTTCAGTAAAAATTACTATCATTAGAATTAATTATAAAATGTTGTTACCATGAAATTTATACAACACATAATTATGTCACTTCTTGACTTGTACTGTCTATAGGTAATTGTATAAAATGTTTGTTTTAAAATGTTTAAGCAATGGTATATTGTTCAATGTTACACAAGCTAGTGTATTCTTAATCTGTTTTGAAAAATCATTTCCTCTTACTGTTACTATATGTAATAAATATCATTTGGTCATTTTGTACATGTTATAGTTACAAAAACGTTAGAATACGTCAAGTCTTAGTTTAAATTATATTTATTCGATAAATTGTGCATATAGAACATTTACATTTTTCAACAAAGAAAGACTCGATTATAAAAGAAGTAAAATACTTTTCAGTTAAGAAAATTTAAAACACTGCCAAAAAGTCTTGCGGTTAGAGGTAAACTTATGAATTGTACAAAACTTAATAATTAAGAATTTGTTTTGACTACATCATATTGATCGCTTCAATTCTGAAATACGTCCATAATATTGCTTGACGTGTATTAATCTGAATCTGCCAAGAACTTCCATCTTTGGTACGAAAATTGCACGCTCGCGATCATAATTAATCACAGAAATGTTGAAATATAATACATATGTAATAATGTAATGGATACTGCTTTAATCAGCATGGTTTTATAGCACGGAAACACGCACACCGATGTGAAATATCAATGCATCTTACTAAATGCAGTCAGAAAAGATGGGTGCGATATGAATGCATATAACAAAATTTATAACAATCATGGAGGACGTCAAATTTTGCCACACATATTTTGTCAGTATCTACGAGGAGAAACCTTCATAGCAATGTTGTTATAAAAAAATGCAGTGCAGCGTAAATATCTTCGCAAATGGCTTTTCTTGGATGTTAAGATAGTATAACGTTTATACAAAAAAAACATGTGTAACGAATACATATGGTATCATATAATGTCTCATATCGTTTTGTGTTCAATGAACTTTCTTTAGAATGATTTTGTTTTTCATTTGGTTTTAACGGCTCACCAACACAATTTAGGTCACATGGCTCCGTAACAGGAAATATGAATTTGGCTACCTTACCTTAGGGCGTTACAAAGAGAACTCGTGAATTTATGAAGTTGAAATCAAAACGATAAAACAGGAAATGTTGTCAACAAGCTTGCATGAGGTTGGTGCAAGCAGGAAATAGCTTAAATATACTGATCATATTGGTATTATAATAATGACTGATAAACGTGTAATTCCATGTTATATGACCGAGGAATAAAAATGTTGTTTATTTATTTATTTATTTATTTATTTGACTTCGAAGCTGAACACAAACAATCATCAAATTTCACATTTTATTGAAACAATAAACACCCAGCATTACTTATGAGGTTCATTTATAACATCACTAATATACAGTATTAATCATTTAATAAATGAAATTGTAATGGCAGAAAATGGCCGCGAATTAAAAGCAAGCAAGCAAGGAGAAAGCCTTTGTCTTACTTCAGAGCCTGATGAGGGACGAGCGGACAAGCGCAGGTAATTTATAATCTAAGAGATATTAATACCCAAAGATTGCCTAGTACACTCGTGAAACTAGGAATTACCAGCCACTTCCATGGGCAAAACCCTGTTCACACTCACTGTCAACCGAGTGACATACTAACCGCCAGCAAAAACTTTAAACCACACAAGTTTACCAACACACTGATTTACTCGGCACTATACACTATTGCCCATTACTTCATGCAACACGACCACTTAACCGAGCCATACGCTGTTAAAGTTACACACTTTTGTACGCAATCAAAACAAACTGACTGAATGGCTGAACGGACATAATGGCGTACATGGACAAAACGGCTTTAGCGTACTTTGCGGTATAATAAATGACATGCTGGCGGTTGTGTACACACGCGAAAAATCAAAACTTGATTTATCACAGGCAATTTCTAGTATGAAAATTTCAAAATTATAAACAAGAGATAATCCACTACCCAGGAGAAAAAACCTTGGTTTAGCGATTACCCCTTATTTACTTACATGTATTGGTCCAAAATGACATGTCTATTCAATATGTACATGGCATATTTACTACTCAGGAGATACACCTTGATGTAGCATATAGCCATCAATGATTTAAGAATTAATATTAAATTTTAAACAAGTCTTGTCACTCATCCCCCATGGCATTTAATATTTTCGCGACAAATTGCTTTGTTTGATAATAACACTGTTATATCTAAACATATAATATAATAATCAGTAGTATAATATTAGAACTAAACGATTGAATCAAATTTAAATACACTGTATCTGCATAAGAGTTATAACATTGATAACATCGTATAATGTACTGTCCATAATTGGTATAAACAAAATATATAAAAGATCGTTCACATATTTATCCACACCGTTAACTAGATAACAAAGAACACTGTACACCTATAGATAGTTAATCAATCAAATCATTTCCATGTGTCATAGTATCGATGTAATTCCGCATGATACATCCAAGAAAAAATTGCGTCGTCCAAGAACAAGTTGCGTCGTCCGAGAACTAGCTGCATCGTCCAAGAACAAGCTGCATCGTCCAAGAACAAGTTGTATGACGATATATACGTTAGTGAACTCGGCTATGTGTATAGATGTACGTTCCTGGTGTGGAAGACAGTACTGCCCAGAACTCGCAAACTATTCTGAAAGTATATAAGACTGACAGCAGAAAAACTGAAGAAATTCAAATACCTATGAACATACCAAATAAATTGTTCAATATATTGTTTCCTATATAAACTTGATAATTTTGCGAAACTCATGGGTGTGGTGGGTGGGATTTTATCAAGCGATGTTTACAGCACAAGTTCTCAAGTACAATGCTGACGGAAACGGATGTGTCGGTGATATATAGCGTAACCGAGGTAATCCGCATAATTTACCGCCAAAATCAAGGCTGTATACAAATCACGTGAACTTCGTGCGCAAAAATAAAATCAATTATTTGCTATCGAAATAATTCGTCTTATTTTATGACTTCGAAGCTGAACACAAACAATCATCAAATTTCACATTTTATTGAAACAATAAACACCCAGCATTACTTATGAGGTTCATTTATAACATCACTAATATACAGTATTAATCATTTAATAAATGAAATTGTAATGGCAGAAAATGGCCGCGAATTAAAAGCAAGCAAGCAAGGAGAAAGCCTTTGTCTTACTTTAGAGCCTGATGAGGGACGAGCGGACAAGCGCAGGTAATTTATAATCTAAGAGATATTAATACCCAAAGATTGCCTAGTACACTCGTGAAACTAGGAATTACCAGCCACTTCCATGGGCAAAACCCTGTTCACACTCACTGTCAACCGAGTGACATACTAACCGCCAGCAAAAACTTTAAACCACACAAGTTTACCAACACACTGATTTACTCGGCACTATACACTATTGCCCATTACTTCATGCAACACGACCACTTAACCGAGCCATACGCTGTTAAAGCTACACACTTTTGTACGCAATCAAAACAAACTGACTGAATGGCTGAACGGACATAATGGCGTACATGGACAAAACGGCTTTAGCGTACTTTGCGGTATAATAAATGACATGCTGGCGGTTGTGTACACACGCGAAAAATCAAAACTTGATTTATCACAGGCAATTTCTAGTATGAAAATTTCAAAATTATAAACAAGAGATAATCCACTACCCAGGAGAAAAAACCTTGGTTTAGCGATTACCCCTTATCTGTATGCCCAAAGGAACAAAAATATTTAACAAATGACGAATTTAGTTAAACTCGCTTCTTTTTTGTATTTACCTGCGCTTGTCCAACCCGTCCCTTTGAATTTTTGCCGCCACGATAAATTTTATGCAAAAGAAAATTTATTCCCCCGAAAATTCAAACGACGTATCAGCAACTTATTCAATTATATGACCATTGTATTAAGTTTTAAATGTACTTCAATATGACATCCTTAATGGCATCAATGTAAAAAGCTAACCCTATATTTGATAAATGAACTCCGTCCGCCCTGAAGAAACCAGGTGTTTTATAATCAATATCTACCGAAATTACTTCAGATTTGGGGTGACGACGAACTTGCTGCCTACCCCAGCGATTTATTCGTTTTCTGCTTTCTTCAATTTTATGTATTGATACGTCGGAATTCCATGAAAGACGTTGAAGAATGTCTATCCAAATAATTACGGAATCCGGAAAAGCTTCACTTAAGTACTTAATTTCGGCACCAATAATAAATCTTAATTTTCTCAAAGATTTAGACAACAAATCATTACCTCCGAGATGAATTAATATAACATCAGGTGGCTTGCTAAGAATGACGTTACATTCCACAGAACGGCGGAAGTCGTCCCAAGACATTCCCCGTATGCCCCACCATCCAATTGATTTACCGTCAAGTTTAAGGTTAGGGGTTCCTAATTCATTGGCTCTTACACCGGCCCAGTATGGGATGGAATCTCCCAGGATCCAAATATCTAAAGCATAAATTAAGTCAAGGTAACAAGTACATGTATTTCAATTCTAGCATAAATTTCGTTCTTATAAATGCTGATATCAATAATTCAAACAAATTTATACGCGTATATAAGTTTTATAGGCATCTGATGACCAACGACCCATTTTTTTAATTAAACAGGACGGCATACCCATACTTGCTAGGTCCGTTGCACGGCCAATCCGGAAGCTATGTGAAGTATACTTTCCCCGGTTGAAACCGGCACGGACAATACATTTATCCAATAGAAATGAAAATTGATGTCTTAGCACCGGTTTGCCATCAGCATGGCAAAACAAAGAACCCTCGATATCCGGCCTCACATTAATGTAGCTAATCAAGGCCGTAACCGGACATGCGTTTTTATCTTGTTCAAGTGCGAGTTTCAACACTGTTGCTTTACTGCATTGATTTGTTTTGTGCCTATTTAATGACACTGAAACGAAATGACCGTCCGGTGAAATGTATATATCACCGCGATTAATATTGTAATTTGGACCGTATGCATAACAAGCCACTAATTCACTAATTCTGAACAGACCAAAATATGCCAAAAGCCACAATGATTTAAATAACTTAATCTCGTACTGATTATAACATACTCTGTGAAGTTCATTTAATATGCCTAACAAAATGTGTTTGGTGATAGGCGCTCTATTATCAACTGTTTTCCTAACCCGAAAACAACCATCAAGCAATTTAGCTATCAAAAAGTTACTTGTGACTGGTGGCCATTCGTTTACCCTATGAAAATAATCCAAGCCTGCAATATAAGTTTTGATAGATTTCGGAGAGAGGCCTTTATTGAAACAGTATGCAATAAACAAGACTAATTGCTGTTGAGTTGCCGGCCAATGCTCCTCAAACTTGTACATGGATCTAAATTTAGAAAAGGAACTAACGGCCGTATTATAAGTTTGAAATGTGTTGAATGCCAAACTATTTTGCATAAGACCTATTGTTGTTCGTTGAAGATATTCCAAAGTGATTGTGGGACTACCACTGGGCACAGATCCGCCTCGGGAGCCAATTCTCTGAACTTCGTTGCCTGAAATCGAGACAATGCATCGCAAATTTCATTACGCGAACCAGGAATATGTTTTGCTTTCAACAAGATATTAAATTTCAAACATTTTAGCGTAAGCGCTCGCACAATGCACATAACTAACTCAGATTTCGATGTTAACGTATTTAATATGTGCACCACCGCTTCATTGTCACAATAAAATTTAATTTTCTTATTCATTAATTCTTTACCCCAGATATTTATGGCAATCCAGATAGGAAACAGCTCGAGAACCGTTATATTGCTTGTAATATTTCTTTCATGCCAAGCTTTGGGCCATTTAGCCTGACACCAGTGATTACAATAAAAAATTCCGAAGCCACAACCCAAGCCACCTGCGCTATCTGTATATAATTGAACTTCCTCGTTCGAAACCCAAAATCGGTCATGGAAAGCTGATATGCCGTTATGATTTTCAAAAAATGATAGCCACATACGTAAGTCGCGCTTAATGCCTGTATTTACTCTAAGGCGATGAAATGACTTCGATACGCCACATGTAGCATTAATAAGTCGTCTGCAAAAAGGTCTGCCGGCAGGTATAGCACGGCAGCAAAAGTTTAAAGAACCTATAAGGGACTGTATTTCTCGTAACGACGCTTTTTTCTTGTTTAAAATCTCCCTAACTTTTGTTATTACTTCCGTTATTTTTTCAATAGGAATTCGTATCTGCATTTTATCCGTATCAAGTTCGATACCCAAGAAAACCATAATTTTATTCGGACCTTCGGTTTTTTCGTCTGCTAGGGGAACGTTTAAATCATCCATACAAGTTTTGAATATGTCCATAGCAGCGCGACATAATGTAAATGACCTATCTGCGCCAAGAAAATCATCAAGATAATGAATTAACCCACCAGACGTTAACCTCTGCTTAACGACATACTCCAAAAAAGTTGAAAACTTTTCGAACGTCTTGCAACTAACAGATGCCCCGAAAGGTAATGCTTTATCTATGTAGTATAAACTTTTGAATTTCAATCCTAATACTTCAAAATCTTCGGGCCTAATTGGTAACAATCGAAAAGCATTTTTAAGATCCATTTTAAACAAGTAGCAGTGCCTTCCTAAATTTTGAATCATTGCCACTGCTTCATCAAAATTCGTATATGACACAGAACAAAATTTTTTGTCTATATAATCATTAACTGATTCACCTTCTGGGAAAGAAAGATGGTGTATAAGTCTGAACTCCCCTTTTATTTTCTTCGGAACTAAGCCTATAGGTGAAACGATTAAATTTGGCATTGGTTTATCTACAAAAGGCCCGGCCATACGACGGGCGTTTATTTCTTTATTAATTTTGGCTTGTACTACATTAGGATTTGATAAAGCCGAGCGTAAATTCTTACATTCCCTGCCTAATCTCGGCCCCGAATAATGCATATTAAAACCATAAAGAAAACCGTTCAATAAAACTTTAGCATCCTTATGCTTATATCCCGTTACCAAACGGCGAAGAGCACTCAAGTTTATCGGGGTAAACGCTAGATTAATTAAATCTAGATTTTCTGCATCTTTGATATTTTCATTTTTTGAATGAACCCCTGGCATTACCACGGGAAACATTTCGCCCTCTGAATTTTGAGAATCGGAAATTCCTTCCCCGAAAATTGTTAGTATAATTACCAGAGAATTCTTGACGTTGCATATTACTCGGACAATTCACGGCGGCGTGAAAAGCGCTACACTTCGAGCATATGTGAGGGAATTTACACATTGGCCAATTACACCTGCCCTCATTGAATTGATTACATGATGGAGCACGAGGTGCTCGTGTATTGTCAACTGGTAAAGGAGAATTCGGCCTAGTTTGGACACATCTCCACCAAAGGTCATTATTAATACGTGCCCACGATGAGGGTTTCAATGCTTGCCTCAAACGAAATTGCTCATCATATTCTCGCCATGCCAATAGAATAGATAAAAACAGAATCCCCAAAGAAAGCCCAACACGGCAAAATTGAAAATGTTGCAGGCTCGGTTTGATTGAGCCTGTTCATGGACGGTACTGTCAAGTGCATACTACCGTCCACGCCCCCTAGCACCGGCTTAAGCAGAATTCAACATTTAAACATGAAATGGTAGAATTTTGTATCTAGAAACATCCGCAGATGTGTTCATACGGCGGTTATCATGGAACCTTCAATGTGACACTTCCGTGCCATTCCATGAAAAGCGGCGTATGGTCCCCAAGTAATAAAAAGCGTGTGCCCTAAACGAGAAAACAATGGGCGGAACTAAATAAAATGGAATTTTGAAAGGGGATCAGAGGTTATGAAGCCTGCATATCACAGATAGGACGTCAAAAGACAAATTTAAAAGTCGCCTTGCCTGGCCGCGCATTCCCTTATAACCCACATGTAATGAAAAATCTCGTATATTTTATTGAGGTTAGAAGCAGTGTAAATTGAAGCGTACACGATGAAGGCATCGGTCCATTTTTCAATGGTGTATATCTTATCTTTACACGGCCTCGCCTGCGTTTCAATTTTTCCGTCTGCTGACAAACGAAGTGTGCTACCTTTATCATAGATATCGGACAACTCAATCGAGCCTTTTAACAACAGGGCTAAATTTACATACTCGCCACGTGCTATCTGCTGTTTGAGAGCGGGCGGCACGTGCGCAGCGATATCGTCGTCTGCTAATTGAACACATTCAGGTAACACGCTCGGTATTAAAGAACTGGAATGCGGGTTTAAATTGTATTGTGCAAGAGCGTGACGTGGCGCACGTGGGGGATTAGCAACTACCTGCGCACGATCTGTTTCTGACAATTGACTTGTTGTTTGTTGAAAAACACCACCACACCCCTCATTAATATTTTGTTGGCTAACAGCATTACTTGAATTAGCCGAATCATCAGAAGCGGGCAATATACCCGAACCTCTTATTATTTCTTCAAAATCTATTACATTAGAACGTAAAGAACGACGTGAAGGTGAAGAACGGTTACCTGGATCAGGCTGTAAAAGCCGAGATTCACACTCTCCCTCATCAGAAGGTCTTGCTTTCCTTTTCCTTCCTCTGCGTTTAGGAGGCATGATGCGCAATATAAATTGGTGATTGAAACTGATTTTATCAAGCGATGTTTACAGCACAAGTTCTCAAGTACAATGCTGACGGAAACGGATGTGTCGGTGATATATAGCGTAACCGAGGTAATCCGCATAATTTACCGCCAAAATCAAGGCTGTATACAAATCACGTGAACTTCGTGCGCAAAAATAAAATCAATTATTTGCTATCGAAATAATTCGTCTTATATATTTATTTATTTATTTATTTATTTATTTATTTATTTATTTATTTATTTATTTGAGCGCTAGAAAGTGTTTGTAAAACAAAGATAAGTTTTTAAAAAGCTGAAAATGAAGGAAACAAAACTTACACGATACAAGTTGCATCGAACAGAACATAATCTCCAATAAAGTCTTGACCTGTTACCACGGGTGTATATTCCGTGCATACAATAGCATCAGAATCTATGGAAGACATACTCATTGTTCAGACCATATGACACAATATTAACATTAATTATAACACAGTTTCACCATTATTTCTTGCATATCAGACAGGATTATCTACCGTTTTCATCGGTGCTAGAAAACTCTGTCTTACACCCCCAATGTAAGACAAGTCGCGTGCGTTATATGACGTCATTGACGCGCGCCTTTTATGTCATTTTTCCTTATGAATGAAGTTGTATGTTCATACACTACCATAAGAAAAAAGTGCGTAATGAGAATATCAGGTTTCATAATTTCTGTTCCGAAAATAATTGACATGCAATAAGCAAAAAAAAGAATCAAACACTGGCTGTCGGTACAGACGGGAATATCAAGCTCTCGGGTAACTGTTTAGCGGAAACTCGGCAGAGCCTCGTTACCGCCGTAAACAGTTACCCTCGAGCTACATATTCCGGTCTGTACCGGCAGCCGGTGTAAGATCATTATATTCTTCAATTCTCCTTCAGTTTCATATAGCTTCAAACACACGATTATATATCACTTACACACAGTATATACAATCAATTTGACACGACATATCCTTCAAATAATACACAATTATCAAAGTCAAGGCTTTAAGTTTTACCTATATTGCAGGTTTCCCACTAATGCATTTCCAATATGTTATAAAATTGTCATAGAAGCTCCTGCGGCAGTTGGCATTAAAACGCAAATAGATAGCCTGGTTACTATAGAAATGTCTACAAGTTTATATCATCATACATGTCTCGTTATAAATTTTAATATTGTTTAAAATAATGCAAAACAAAGTATATATTTAGAGTTTTTGTTTGTATCGAATGTAGAACAATAGCTTAAATAATGATAATAATTATCTTAAAAATTACGATTTTAATATAGTAATATAATTTGATGTTGAAATGTGAACTCGAACTAAACTGTGATATATATACATTTATATTCAAAACCATGTGAAAATTATCAGATTTAACAAATCTGTAAGTTCAAAGAAAAATGACTTCCAGATTTCATTTGTAGGAAATAAGGTCGTCAAGGGGGATTTGAAAGGAACCATTTGAGTTGCCTAGGGACCGTAGGCTCGATCCATCTGAACCTTGCACCTTTTCTTATTTGTTGCTGTGGACGTGCTTTAAAGGTTCCTTCTTTCTCTTTTTATATAAGTTTGAAAAAGTTGAAACCCAAGAAAATGTACCAAAAAAACACATCAATATTATAGTTGCATCTGCACAAAAAATAACGAATATACGAGTACAGTAATCTCTGTTCCGAAACGAATGAATTACTTGTATCAAAATTTGTATCAAATAAAATAAAATCCTGGCCATATTTGTTTATATTTATGATATACTATTGTGTATAGATAGACTTACTTTTGAGACTTGCATGATCCGGTCTGCCAAGGCTTGTTAAATCTAGTTGCATTTCATTATCTCACATTATAAACCTGAGTCTCACTTTGGCTGCATCATTCTGTCTCTGCTAGCAATGGACCTCCCATTTTATAATCATTAAAGGAAAGGATTCATAAAAGCTAATTGTTGACAATTGAAGACTAAAATAAGCACGATTTATTATACTGATTTGGTAGAGGTAAGGGTTAACATTCGAAATGTGTCTTTATACTGGTATTTTTAATAATCATCTTAAGGGTATTTTTATACTACCTTTACGTGTATTTTTTACGATTAAGCAATACTTGTCTAAAGTGTACTTCAAGACACCACAAATATTACAAACAAACAAAAAAACAAAACATGCGTGACAAAATTAATTTAAACCGTTTCGATTTTAGTAGAATGTCTTTAATATCAGACAGGATTATCTTTTGTTTACACTGGTGCTAGAAAACACTGTTCCACACCCCGACTCTTCATTCGTGTATGACAAGTCGAGTCCTGAAAATGATGCCCTCCCCACGCGCATTCTATGAATGAATTGCGTTCTTAGGATGTCGTCATTTTGCTATTATCAATTCATCAATGAAGTTGTAAATTAATACGTTTCAATAAGAAACAAGATGGTCATAATGGCACTTATATGCTTAATATTTACATGCTTACTTTACCATCTAACACATCAATCAATTTCAAAAATTTGACATAAGGATTATCTTTACCTTCTGATTTATTTTTTCCGGATTCAAAGATTCAAAATTTAGTAATACATGTTTACATGTTTGATAAGTTTAATGTGAATTTTTCAGCATGTATAAGCATATTTCTACTGCATTACTAACGCAGTAATGACTATTTCCGGATACTTTGACCTCATTTGGTAATTTACATGGGTTGTCAGTGCTGTTTGTTATGTACACATGCTTCCTTATGCTTACTTCACAGTATTGCTCTTATAAAAACATTTTCAAAATTTTCATGAAAATTAGCATGAATCTGGAGGCATGCTGCTTCAAAGCATGATAATAATTGTGCAAATTCCTTACACATGTGATTTTCATCTTAATATTTATTATCTGCTTTCAATGTGTATTGTATTTAAGAAATGTAGCGTAATATGGATATAACTTCCAATTTACCCAGTTTATGACCCTTATTTATTATGTCTTCAATTAATTTCTTTGTTATCAGTATAACAATGCGGTGATTGGCACATGCTATATCCTGTGACATGTATTGCATCAATTACTCTGCTTTTTTACAATGTAAAAAGTAATGCATACTTATTTATTAGCGCAATATTCTCTTCATGTACGATAACTTTTTCTTATGACAGATTTGAGGTATATCAGTTTTGAAAAAAGCAAACATTTAAAAACGGAGCTTTAATGTCATTGTGAGATATGTTCAGTTGGTAGTATATTAAATTTTTGATTGGTTGTTTCAGACAGTCTTTTATTATTCAAGTATATTATAAATGCAATACCTTTACGAAATAAGATATCCTTCTCTCAAACCAAAAACAAGATATTTACTTACTCGCAACTTTTTAGAACAGTACATGTATAGACTTGTGGAAACACCATCCTTACTCATATGTGTGTATTCTATTTCATCAAAGTCCGCTGATAATTTTGTGTATAGCGCATTCATATTTTTATATTTTAATCATTAATGATTATATGAATAAATATAAGCTGCTTTAAACCACTTTTTGGAATCAGTTCAATTCTTCAATAAGGAGTTGTTCTGTTCTAATATTAAAACAACAAAGTTGCAAAATTTTATTTAGGAAAGTACTTAAACCTTAACAATGTAACAAGAAACGTATGGTAAAACATAACTTTTAAGCACTTATGTACAATTTGTCTGATTAAGAATTCATCATATACAATGCGTAAACATTTCTTCAAAGAATACTTTCACAGATGCTAAAACGGTTTGTCAGACATAACATATGGTGGTATTAACTCCATTAGCAGTTAAGAGAAAGATGCAAAACACACAAGAAGCCTCACATT